TATTTGCAGATGGCATATATAAACCACTAACAAATACACTAAAAATCTACTAGAACTAATATTTTTAAGGAAAAATTTAACAAAGCATATATTCTGAGAAACCACAAAATGCTAAAGGAAATACCTAATTAAGCAGAAAAGCACTTTATGTTAATGGGTTAGAAGGTTAAGCATCAATAAGTTGTAATACTTCCCAAAATTGATTACAGATTGAACATAACTGTCAATCTTAAAGACACTGACATGCTAATTATGAAATTCACATGAAATTGCAAGGCCTAGAATAGACCAACAATCCTGATAATTCTGAAAATTTCAAAATTTACTACTCAACCATAATGAAAATAATATAATGCCATAGGAATGATTTATCATGGTTTACTTAAAACAATACATTCAAATGCCATCCAGACCCTAAACTTTACTACAGAGCTATAATAACCAAAACAGCTTAGTCCTGGCTCAGAAATAGACCTGAAGACCAATGGAATAGACTAGCCAAGAAATATATTCTCATAGCAATCTGATATTTGACAAAGAAGCCAAAAATATGTACTGAAAAAATACAGCCTCTTCAACAAATAGGGCTGGAAAACTGAACATCAATATGTAAATGAATTCCTGTCACCTTGCATTAATATCAACTCAGAATGAATCAAAGACCTCAGCTTTAGACCTGAAACCTTGAAACAACTACAGTAACTACATTATAACTTATTATATGCAGAAACTTTCTTAGGAGAGTTCCTTGGGCTCAGCAACATCAAATTAAAGTTTCTGCACAGCAAAGGATGGTTTTTAAGCTAAAAAGATAGCCTAGAGATGGGAGATCTTTATCAGCTATACATCCAACTAGGGCCTAATACCCAGAATATACAAGGAGCTAAAGAAACTAAATACCCCAAACCTCAATAACCCAATTAAGAAATGAACAAAGGAGCTAAATAGAGGCTTCTCAGAAGAAAGAATGCAATAAACACATGAGGACATGCTCAATATCTCTGCCCATAAAGGAAATGCAAATCAAAGCAACACTGAGATTTAATCTAACCCCAGTTAGATTAGCCACCAACAAGGATAAAAACAACAAATGCTGTCAAGGATGTGGGGGAAAGGAACTCTATTACACTGTTTGTGGGGGAAAAAAACTAGTGGAACCAATCTGGAAGGGTGTTTGATATTCTTCAAAAAACTAAACAAAGAACTACCTCACGATCCAGCTATACCATGCTTGGGTACCTACCCAGAATATGATGTCAGGATACATCCATGTTCACTGATGCACTATTCATGATAATCAAGGTATGACAACAGCTGACATGACCTGCAATAGACGAATGGTTCAAGAAAATGCATATATATATATATATATATATATATATATATATATATATATATATATAAAATCTTAATGGCAGAAAAATGGATTAACTTGGAAAAACTTATACTAAGTGAAGTCAAGGCTCAGAGACACAACTTGTGTTTTCTCTCATATGTAGAAGTTAGATCTAAAATATAAATATACATGAAAGCATATAGAGGGTTATACGTGCATATATGTATATCTATACAGGCACACAAACAGGCTAAAGGATGGTATACTCGGCAGTCCAACGGTGTAACTCTTCCTCTGAACATCTAACAAACTGCTTAACAAAATGAATACCAGCAAGCTGAAACATGTTTCCTTGGGGGAAAGGGAGGATGGAGAAATGAAGAGTAAACAAATATAGTCATTATATTCAATGTACATTATGTAAAACTTGACTAACCTGAGGGTAGGAATGGCAAAAGATGGGGAAGGGTAAAGGAGGGCTGACATTGATCAAGATGCACTGTACTCATAAGCTGACTTGAGGAACTAAAAACTGTCTGTACAAAAAAATAAATAAGGGCTGGGAAGGTGGCTCAGTAATAGAGCGCTTGCCTTGCACGCATGAGGCCCTGGGTTCGATTCCTCAGCACCACATAAGCAAAAAAGAAAAAAGCCGGAAGTGGCGCTGTGGCTCAAGTGGTAGAGCGCTAGCCTTGAGCTGAAGAGCTGAGGGGCAGTGCCCAGGCCCAGAGTTCAGACCTCACAACCGGACCCCTCCCCCACCCTCCAAAAATAAGGCTGGGCACCAGTGGCTCACACCTATAATCCTAGCTACTCAGTTGGCTAAGATCTGAGAATTGAGGTTCAAAGCCAGCCCAGGCAGAAAAGTCCCTGTGAGACTCTTATTTCCAATTAACTACCAGAAAACTGGAAATGGAGCTGTGGCTGAAAGTGGCAGAAGAACGCTAGCCTTAAGCCAAAAGAACTCAGACACAGCACCCAGACCTCATGAACAACAAAAAATAAATAAGTAAATAAATAAAATAGCCAAGCTCACAAAAATGCCATCATTTAAAACATAATAAAAAACAACCATTCATTTTTAAAGGATAGACATATGTAGGCCTTTCTTGGAAGAATTGCCTGAAACTCAGCGTTAATAGAGAACAGAACTAGGTAACTATGGCACATACTGGTGGGAGATTACATTTGTCATAGTGCTTCCTTCTGAAACTTAAATTTTGGAACGTTCAAATATACATATTATCCATTTCAAGGAACTGATTTCACACAATAGTGAAATGTGTTATATTAAACTTAGAAGTATTTAGGCAGAGGCTCAGGACATGTGTTGCACATATTATTAAAAGAACTTTTTTTCGTTGGTCGTGGGGCTTGAACTCTGGGCCTGGGCACTGTCCCTATGCTCTTAAGCTCAAGGCAAGCACTCTACTGCTTGAGCCACAGCTCTACTTCTGGTTTTCTAGTGGTTTATTGGAGGTAAGAGTCTCACGGACTTTCCTGCCCAGGCTGGCTTTGAACCGTGGTCCTCAGATCTCAGCCTCCTGAGTAGCTAGGATTACAGGAGTGAGCCACTGGAGCCCGGCTTGAAATTCTTTTGAAGAATGAGAATGGTGAACTATCATTTATTATTCTTCATTGGTGGTATGGCGAATTATCCTTTCATAAATTTCATCAATTCATTTGTGGTATGACAATTATAATGTCCAGACAATAGTATCCTGGCTTGCTTGGATAACTGTATGTGATCACACAACGTAGGTAAAGGCAACCCACTCCACTTCAGACCTCAGAAGCACTCAGAAGCAAAAAAAACAATTATTCTTTCACTGTAATTCAAACTATTAAAATATCATAGGAAATTCTAGAGCTGGATAATTATGTTATCACTTAATAGTATCTAACCATAATGGATACCCACTTTCCACAAAGATCTAAAAATTTGCTTCCTTGAAAGTGGCTTTTCCTGTTCCTTGAAAGTGGCTTTTCATATGGCTGTTCGTATTCCTTTTATTTGTTCACATATCTAAATTATTAACTTCACTTTCAGTGCTACAATATTGTTTGAATACATCACACGTGAATCAGAAAGCAATCTGACATAGATGAATTACAAAGAAAAGATATACTTTTTTAAAAAACTAAAATTTAGGGCTAGGAAAGTGGCTCAGTGGTAGAGCGCTTGCCTTGCATGCATGAGGCCCTCGGTTCCATTCCTCAGCACCACATAAGCAAAAAGAAAAAAGCCGGAGTGGTGCTGTGGCTCAAGTGGTAGAGCGCTAGCCTTGAGCTGAAGAGCTGAGGAACAGCACCTGAACTCTGGGTCTGGGTGCTGTCCACGACTGGACTGAAAAAAAAACACCAAAAAAACCCCTAAAATTTTAGTATAACAACATCGTGGAAGTGGAACTTTTAGTATGATAAGATCGAAGTGGAAGTGGAACTTTTAGTATGATAAGATCAAAGTGGAACTAAAATTTTAGTTTAATATGATCGTTGAACATACTGCAAAGAATTTTTTTTCTAAATTATTTAATTTATATAAAATTATATACAGCCCATTGGCCCATTGGGAGTTAAATACAGACCATGCACTTGCTGTGCTTAACAGGTTAACCATCTACTACTTGAGCTCCTCCTACTACTTCAGCTCCTCCCTTCCCTCCTGTATGCTGACAGTATTGGAGAAAGGACTTCTTTGTGTGCTGTTTCTCTTTGAGCATTAATCCTCCAAGGATGGACTCCATCATCCGAATAGCTCGAACTACAGGCAAAAGCCACAAACTAGTGGCTCCATCTCATTTTTTTTTTTATTTTTATTTTTTGTGAACATACTGTACAGAGGGGTTACAATTACATGGGCAAGATAATGAGTACATTTCTTATCAAGCATGCAGCCTCCTCGTTTGTTTACCCTTCCCAGCCTCCCCGCCCTCCCCGTCGCCCCCCCCCCTCCGCCCCAAAGTTGTAAAGTTCGTTTTTGACAACTTGTACTTCTCATAGTTGCATCGGGTCCACCTGTATCCTTAAACGACTTGTTTTTCCCTCCATCTCATTCTTTTGAACTAACTTCCATCAAACATCAGTACCCAGGGCAGAAATGAAGAATACTAACTCAGAACATATGATCATCTTTTAAGAACACAATTTTATTAAGGCTGATAGAAAAAAAATGAGAAATAATTTGAAATAATGTGAAATAATTTGAAATTTTGTGTAAAAGTCAAGTCTGTGTATTTGGTGGTGGTCGGAGTAGATCAACTCGTCTCTACGCAGGCTGGGTGGAATGTGTTCCAGGTGAGCACCACGGCAATGTCTTTTCAAACTCTCCATTTGAGCTGCAGGAAGAAAGGGAACTCAGGACTGAATTGCACAGGACAGCACCCGACAAGTCACAATCCCTTCTTTCTGAAAGTCTATCCCTTTAGACACCTCTCCCTCCCCTCTCATCTCTTCCCATCTCCCCACTCCCCTTCACCCAGGTAACCATAGGTCAGAGGGGATGAGCTAAAGGGACTTCCTTGAAACAGATAAAACAGGGCACAGCTCAGTGGCCACCTACTTGTTTTCAGTTCGTCCGAAGAAGCATTTTCTTAATGCACGTTCGGCCGGCAACAACAACAGAGGCTTTGAAAGCAAGAGCTGATGCTTTTCTTCCAACGCCTCAAGCGCCTCCAGCCCCTCCGTTGTTCATTCCTTGTAGTTGATGTTGGTTGAACTGAAGGGAATGAAGTTTCGGGGGTTTCCGAAAGTACAGGACCTGGGGGTGGCTCGCTGCTTTCCTCTTCTTCCTGTGGGTCCTGCTGGCTGGGATATGATGCTGTTGGACACGGGACAGCAGAGCTGCTCTTCCTCTTCTTCTCGACAAGTACCCAAGTGTTATGTAGTACCGAGGGAAGAGAGTTGGGCCTGCTGCCCACCTCCTGCTCAGTGGCTGGGTTCCTCATTTCAGAGGGTTGGTCCGTAGTGACAGTAGGTGCTGCTGCTGCTGCGGTGACCGCTGCTGCTGCTGCGGTTGCTGCTGCTGCTGCTGCGGCTACTACTGCTGCTGCGGTTGCTGCTGCTGCTGCTGCTGCAGCTACTGCTGCTGCGATTAGTACTGCTGCTGTGCTTGCTGCTGCTGCTGCGGTGGTTGCTGCTATTGCTGCTGCCACGGTTATTACTGGATTCCCAGTAGCACTGATGTCTTCCTCAGTTTTCCTCTCTGTGTTGGTGCCGGGGGTTCTCCAAAGGACGCAGGGGACGCACACGGTTCTCCTGCCTTTCCTGCCACCACCCTTCAGCTGCTCTTTAGCAGGGAAGCCTGCAGCCTGGTGGCGCACAGGAGCGCTCGCTTTCTTCAGATGCAGAGCTCTGAAGCTCTTGCATGCAGGTGAGGGGCAAGGCGGAGGCCCAGGAATAGCATACCTCATCCTGCGGGCCAGGTGTTGTTGGCCGTGGTCTTGAAGTTGTTTTAGAATTCTGTACGTGGCCATGCAGCTAGGCAGGGCTTGACTGACCTGGTCTGGATCAAAACCAAGGTAGGAGGCCATGATATACAATATGGCTGGATCTGGCTGGGGCGGGGCATTCTGGATGGGGGGTGGTGAGGGTACATTAGCTCCCCGAAACCAAGGGTGGCGCATCACTTGCCCTACAGCCGGCCTTTGTTGAGGGTTGGTGGTCATCATGTAATTTAAGATCCCTTTGAGTTCAGGGGTAAAGTATTTCGGCGTTGTAAATCTGCCTGCAAGCACTTGTTTTTTAAACACAGCCCATGAACTGTCATCATAGGGCACGTCGCCCATGACCATGTAATATAGTAGCACCCCCAGGCTCCAGACGTCCACCTTCGGACCCTGGTATCTCTGCTCCTTGACCATTTCCGGAGCCCAATAGGCTGGGGTCCCACACTGCTCCGTCAGCTCCTGCTGGGGCTGGAGCCGCACACTGAGACCGAAGTCGCACAGTTTGGCCATACCCTTGTTGTCAAGTAAGATGTTTTCAGCCTTCAGATCTCGATGGCTAATACCATGGTCGTGGCAATATTTGACAGCCTTCAAGATCTGCCCAAACAGATCCCTCGCCTCCTCCTCCCCCAGCCTCACCAGTTTTTGTACATAGTCTACCAGGTCTCCTCCGTCGAGGTACTCCATCACCAAATGCAGTCGATAATCTGATTCCACCACCTGGTAGAGCTTAACGATGTTACGGTGCTCCACAGACTTTAAAATATCCAGCTCTGTGGCGAAAGAGGGGCATTCCCTCTTATCGATGGTTTTCACAGCCACGAGGGAGTCGGTGGGCAGATGCTTGGCCAGCTGGATGGAGGCAAAGCCGCCCTCACCGATGGTCCGGAGCACCCGGTAGTGAGCCCCCAGGAGCTCCTGATCTGAGGAAGTGGTCTCAAAGGTTGGCCAGGACCTCTCCTCTCTACACTGGCTAGTCATTCCTATGCTGACTAGCACCCTAGCGATGCTCTAGGGAGAAAAGTGAGCTAATCAAGTGAAACCAAGTACAATCAGATCTAAATAGAAGTATTAGTATAATTAATAGTAAAGTATGTAATAAGTGAATGAAATTACTATCTAACTAACAATAAAACTATGTAATGTAAATATCGAATGAATAAATGATTAATGAGTAAATGTTAAAATGCTATCTAGTTAAGATAAAGAGGAAAAATAGAGAAGGGAAGAAAGGAAATGTAGAAGGAAGAGAAAGAAAGAGGAGGAAGAGAGAAGGAAATTAGAGGAAAAAGGAAAGAAAGAAGATAAGAAACAGTAAGAAAAAAGGCAAAAGAAAGAAGCAAAGTCCGAGAAGTCAAAGCCAAATCGTAATCCAAATCCAAATACCTGATAATCAAAGCCAAGTCAATGAACCAAATAGACAAACCAACAAATCACTAAACGCCCGAACAACTCAACTCCACCCTCCAAACTACCTACAAGAGTCCACCATTCAGCACGCGATATATATATAGCCAGGGTTATTGTGACCTCATAAAGGTGTCTGTGATGTCAGAGCTGCCAAGGGGCTCTGCCCATGTGGGCGTCGCCCCCTGTGCCCATCTCAGTTCCTGGCCTTCAGGACGCTTCTTAGATGAGCATGCCTGGACTGGCTATAACTTTGTGGCCTTCTTAGGATAGCATAACTTTGTGATTATGGCCTTCAAAGTTGAAGGTCTTAATTAAAGATTTGAAGTCAAGTATTAGCACATTTAACGACCATTTTGTCATCTCAAGTAGTAATAATGGTACAATTACTCTCTGGATGCAGGTTCTACATCCCTAGATTCAACCAATTGTGGGTCAAAAATAGTTAAAGGTCTGGAGGCATGACTCAAGTGGTAGAATGCCAGTCTGGCAAGCTCAAATTCCTGAGATCGAACCCCAGTACCTCCATATATAGAATATTTAGAGACATTTTTCTTATCACTATCTCCTAGCAATATATAGTATAATGACTATTTATATAGGACTAGGTTGTGAAATCAGTCCCTCCAGGATAACTACTAGTTATAGTATCACCATTAGTGTTAAAGAGGCCAATTTATTATAATAGCTGACATACAACATATGTTCAGTTTTTAATTTATATTATTTCCACTGTCCTTTTCATACTGAGCCAAATATATGAAATTTACATTGAGAAAAATGTGCAGTGAGTTGCATTGCTATGAAGTTGACTTGGTGTGTATGTGAAAGAACCACTGTTTAATTATTTTCAGGCTAATAAACTTCACCACTTATGAATGGAAAAAGTATGCCTCCACAATTAAAAAAAAAATAAGTAAATATTTAAAGGTGCTGATGAGTAGAAGACTAGCCTTGCATGCATAAGGTATTGGCTTAAAACACTAGCACATGAGTGTGTGTGCACATGCACATACACAGACACAGACACACACACACACACACACACACACCAAAACAAACACAATACATTTCTAATGGTTTTTCTTTCTATCATAGCCACAAACATAACAATGGCCAGCCCATTTGGTTTACCCTGGGCATCCTGGAGTCACTCAAAGGCTGGGACCAAGGCTTAAAGGGAATGTGTGTAGGAGAGAAGAGAAAGCTCATCATTCCTCCAGCCCTGGGCTATGGAAAAGAAGGAAAAGGTAATAGCACTACTATATTTTGATTGTAGCATTGGCTTCTTCTCTGGATTAGGAGACAGAAGTAAAGTAACTATTATGTACTTTTTCCAACTAGAAATAAACAAAGACTTGTATTCCTATAGGGATTATAATTATTTTCACTTAAGGCTTTCATATCCAAATGAGCAACTGAACCAACAATAAAATAAGATCTAGAACTGTGAATACTATTCATAACGTTCAATGTGGTGCTTACATTTTAAAAACTGTAATACAATACCATGCAAAACGTAGTATTTTACGTTTGAGCCAGTGGCAAGCTGTGGTGTAATGATCATCCTTAGGCATCTCTAGAACTTCTTCACACACCTGAGGTTCACTTGGTAACTCTTGAAACTTGCCAGAGTGTTATTTGGTGATCTGTAACAAAAGATCTTGAGATGTATATAAGCATTAATCCTGTGATATTCTTACTGGAATCTAATCTAAGGAAATAATGAGAAAGATTACTATTGCTATGTTGTTTCTAAAAGCAAGAAACTGGAACACTCTATAAGAGAATTACTGAGTTTAGCGGAATATATTCCAGTTATTAAAAATAATACCTCTAAAGATTTGTAAAATTATGGGGCTGGGAAGGTGGCTCAGTGGTAGAGCGCTTGCCTTGCATGCTCGAGGCCCTGGGTTCGATTCCTCAGCACCCCATAAGCAAAAAGAAAAAAGCCGGAAGTGGCGCTGTGGCTCAAGTAGTAGAGTGCTAGCCTTGAGCTGAAGAGCTGAGGGACAGCGCCCAGGCCCAGAGTATTAGCCTTGAGCAAGTAAGCAAGCTCAAGGACAGTACCTAGGCCTTGAGTTCAAGCCCCAATATTGGCACAAAAATATAAATAAATAAAATAAAAGGTGAGAAATAATGTATATACTATGATAGCAAGTATAGATATGTATGTATAGAAGTGAATCGCAAAGAAATAAGTAAAAATGTTAAAAATCTATTTATTTCTGGTTTTATCTTCCAAATTTTCTACAACAAGCATGTATTGCTTATGTAATGAGGAAAAAAAGTTAAGTAGACATGGGTGTCAGGCAGGGAACCATTCTCAGGTGTTCTGCATATATACTTCACATTGTGTAGGCCTAAATGTAATCATCGACAAAGTAAGGGTCAGAAATCCTAGCCTGTTTCCTAACAAGAAAGCTAGGTACTGTGTGTGAAGCATGACAGATTTTAAACTAGAGCTGTCTTTGTAAGTCCTATGTATAGATTAGGATTTACTCTCCAAATTCAATTTTCAATTATTTATTTATTTATTTATTTTGTCTGTTGTGGGGGCTGAACTCAGCCTGGGCGCTGTCCCTCAGCTCTTCAGCTCAAGGCTATCACCCTACCACTTAAGCCACAGCGCCACTTCAGGCTTTTTTCTGCTTGTGTGGTACTAAGGAATGGAATCCAGGGCCTCATGCATGCAAGGTAAGCGCTCTACCACTGAGCCAACTTTCCAGCCCCAATTATAATCTTCTTTAGAGAAGCATATCTAGTATCTAGGAAATGTTTCTATAAGGCTTAAAAGAATTCTCCCACTTTCTTATATCTCTATTACCTCACCATTGATATTTAGACACATAGTATTATTCTCTATTCTGTATTTAACTCAACTTTATAACATATAGGAACCAAATGCCATGAAACTAATTTTCCTAATATGTACTTAACACTAATTTCATAGTCTTCTAGTACATGCTTGCATGCCTCCTTGGAATGATACCAGCTTTCTCGTCAATCTAGTGACTGTCCCCTCTCTGTCTCCATCTGGACTGGTAAGCTTGGGCTCACAATGTGAATGAATGCTGTTCTCTTTGAAACATACCGATGATCTTTCATGGAGATATAGGAAATGGGAGGGTATCTAGGAAATACTTAACAAGTCTTCCCAGACATTTATATTAAATAGAGTTATAAGCAAACAACATTTTTTTAAATTGCCCATAATTTCCTAAGGGTTTAATTTTTTATGTTCATTTTTGTTTATACTTGTTGATTTTACTACTCTGAGACTTCAACAAAGCTCCTTTAACTTTTAAAGGTTTGTTATCTCCCATTTCAGAAGTTCTTTATAAATTTTTCTCTCCCAGATACTGAGAGGTGAAAAGGAATGAAAATGGATATGTATATGAATATATCTATGGATAAGGTATATATATATATACTTAAGTATAGATGAATACAGGATAATGAAGACCACCAAATTTTGTTTGAAAAAGAGGAGAAATGGGAAATGGTAGAGGGGTGTATTGTTCAAACTACACTTGTGTATATGTATGAAAATATCTTAATGAAACTTCCTTAGATTACAAATATTTGTGAATTCAAAAAAAAAGAATAAATTTAAAAAATAACAGTGAATAAGCCTTGAAATGCTAAAATGACAAACAAAAATTAATAAACATATAAATAAACAACACATACCATGTCAACTTCATTGTTATTCTTATTAAATATTTTATGCATCTATAAAATTATTTGATCCCTCTCATGAATTGTCTTCCACATATGCATAATGTCATATACCAGAGGGATATTTTAAAATACATTTTTGAACTTCTTTGCATTATTCTTTAAACCTATAGGAAGTTTTTATCTCAGTAATATGCATTGAGAAATTACTATTTATCAAACATAATGCTAAGTATCTTATTTTTCAATAGGTTTTCTTCCTTCATTGCCAATCCTAATATAGAAAATATTAGATGTACATTTAAAGATGAGGAAACTGAGACTTAGATATTGTCAGGTGTGAACTTCTATTTTGACAATATTATACCAAAGCTCATTCAATTATATGCTGCCTCCCAGTGGTAGAGCTGCAGCATCATATTGTGTACTTATTTTTTCTTATTGTGTATTCTTATTGTGTACTTTTTTCTTTTTTTAATGTTTTTCATTGTAAAAATGCTGTACAGAGGGGTTACAGTTACATGAGCAAGATAATGAGTACATTTCCAATTGAGCATTGTTGCCTCCTCCTTTTTTACCTCCTACCATCCCTTCCTTCCCACCTCCACAACTACTGCCCTACCCCTGCCAAAGGTGTAAAGTTCATTTTCAACATAGTGTTTTGTACATCTCAGTCCAGGACTTTCTATTCCAAGTTAGTACATCACTTGTAATTAATTCTTATTTGCTCAAGGTCCTTTATATTATCCTTAATGTACAATATGTAATATCCCAATTGTATTTGAAATTTAGCATCTAGACTCTTAGGTACATACACACACATGTGCACATGAATATGTGTATGTTATTGCTAAGGTAAAGCAAAATTCTTTTGCTTTGCTAGTTTGGATTAT